GACGGAGAGTGCAGAGCTGATGCAGGCAGCCATTCTTTACTCACAGATGGGAATTGGAGCTGAGTCCCGAGACATGTTTCCCCCGAGTACACTGCACACGTCTTCCTTCTGCATGCCACCAGTGAGCAGGGAGTCCTGGCATTGTTCAGAACAGCCTTCCGAAATAGAGCACTGAATGTGTTCCTCATGCTCTTTTCTATCTCTTTCTCTCATCTCCTATTTTTACTTTAGAATTATATGGGGAAAATAAAGCTTAAATTCCTCTCATTTGTATGGCACTTTGCAAATTACAGAGTACTTTTCACAGCCCTGAAAGGTGGGTATTTCATGGTCCCTATTTAGAATGAGGAGCTGGAGCTGAGAGGAGTTGAGTCACAGGATTAGCCAAGGGCAATCCAGTGGAGGATCCTTTCAGAGCAGGCCTCTGAGGGGCTGGGGTCCCAGGCTGAAGGGTCACCAGGCTTCAGGCAGTGTCCCTGTAGGGTCAGAGAGCAGCTGCATCTGAATCCCACTCCCGTCTCCCTTCACCCAGAGCTGAGACGCGGGCCCTTCTCTCTGAGGACCTGCTCCTCAAACGCCCTGCATGCTCCAGAACTCCAAGAAGACCTAGCTGGTGCTTCTTTGTAAATTTTGTATTTGTGTGCACTGCACATTTTTCTTTTGGGAAAATCAACTTTTTTACAAAGTTGATTCCTAGGAGTGCTTTCCTTTTACAATTTTTTGCTTTTGATCTCCTGCATATAGATGTCTTCATCCTTGCATGGTTCTATAAATATTGAGCATTTTTGGTTATAGTTCTTGTTTTGTTTTGCATTTTCTTCCCTCTCCAGAACTAATTTTGATGGCTATGGGTCAAGGTTCAGGCAGGAAAATAGTTTCCACTGCAGACATTTCTAACAGAGTACTGAGTCCAGGGATTGATTGGACAGGTGACAGCGGGTGGAGGGGCAGAGGGGATGAGGAAGGGAACTGGGGAGTGTGGGTTTCTCTCTGGGATCAGAGAAGCAGTGGCTCTGGACTGGAGCCTGCTAGCCTGAGCCAGCTGTTGGTTGCAGGGCACACAGCTTGGCTCTGAATTCTGGATGAGGGGCTGCTAGACTCTGAAAAGAAGCTGCCTTCTCTTGCTACTGCCACTCGTGCAGCCACTTAGTGCCAGCAAGTGTCGCAGCTGCACCCTGTACAACCTAGAGGAGGCAGTTCCCCTGTCCTCCTGCCTGGGTCTGTCTCCAGTATCTCCTACTTGAGAAGCTAACACAAAGTCAGCAGATAAGCTGCAGTAGGCAGAATCCTATGGAAGGGAGGTGGGAGTAGTGGGGCAGGGCAGGGGCAAGATTCCTGCCCCTGGTGCACACAGGTTTGCATAATTTCACCCTTTTTTGAATGGGGAACTTATTGACATGGTGGGAAATCATCACTGCTGTGGTTAGGTCATATTAAATGGCAAAGGCGTTTTGTAAATGTTATTAAGTCTTCCAATCAGTTGACCTTAAGTTAATCAAAGGTGAGATTGTCTATGTGGGTCTGACCTAAATACATGGATGTTTAGATACAGTCTAGAATTCCAAGACATTGGAAACCAGAGGTGGGAAGTATGAGGGCACTGGACATAAGGGGATTCTCTGCTATGGGCTCGGGGACAGGCTCATGTGGCAAGGAGTTGGGCATGACAGTCATCCTCGGGTGCAGGGGCTAAAGGCAGCAAAATGTGTGCGGGCCTGGAAGAAGGCCCATGTCCCCCTGGGATCGTAGGCCTGGGACAGGACCCTGCCTCCAGCTGGGACTTCAGCTAGCCTTTTGAAATTCATGGAGAACCCTGGGCTATACATCCATGAGTTGATGCAGAGTTCTGTTTTCAGCTTCTGGATGGGTGGTCATTCAATAGGCAGCCACATGAAATATCGCAGGGTGAACGTTGTAGCATAGTTTGTAGACCCATGGCCACAGTAGGACAGAAGTGCAGAGATGTGCCCCTATGTGTGGAGAACCATGTTTGCTTTTATTTCTAAAGGGTTGGCCTGTTGTCTCAAAAAGTTCCTCTACTGATTTGAAATGCACATTTTCCACAGTAATTTACATGTGCTCACTCCTTTGGAGTATTCTCTAACATTCTTTCTTTGGCATTTATCCCTTTTTAGAAAAGCCATCTTTAAGACCCGTCTCACTGTTTTTTTCTCCAAAACTTTTGTTGATTTCATGCCTTTGTTTCCTGATGAACATGAGATATTAGCTTTCTATTGCTACAACAAGTGTGTGAGATAAGCAGACTCTTAAGGAGAAAAGCTCACTTTGGTCCTGGTGTCAGAGTTTTCAGCCGTGGTTAGTTGGCTCTGTGCTTCAGGGGTGGCAGTAAAGCAGCACATTGTGTGTGGGAGCATGTGGCAGAGGAAGCTGCTCACCCCGTGATCGCCAGGAGGCAAAGGCAAACAGGAAGGGCCAGGATCCCCTCCAAGGGGACACTCAGTGACCTAGCTTCTTTCCATTAGGGCTGCTGGCTAGAGGTTCCATCACCTCCCAGTAACACCACAGGCTGGGAACCAAGCCTTCAGCACATGGGCCTTGGGGGATACTTGTCCAAACCATAGAATAAAAGTTGTGTCTCTTTTTGAAAAAAAAAAATATATTTTTAAAATAGTTACATTTGATTGGTAATAGAAGACCAGTCAAAATCCAACTGTTCTTTTAAATAATAGTTTTCAATGTTTAGTAGTATTCATGTTGAATGTGAAGGTCTTCCAGTTCAGGTCCATTGATCAGAACATGGCTTCCCTGTGGATATGGGGTGAGGGATCACCAGGAGCTCCCTGCAGGTTCTGCTAGCCCAGCCTGGGCTGGCTCTTTTCCTGGGTCCCCCTGGGGCCTCTTTTCCTGGCACCATAATGTGGGGCACAGAGCCCATCCTCAGGCAGATTCTCCTCCTTCAGCAATCTCCTTAGCCTCAGGGTCCAGGCAGGATTGAGAACCCCAGGATGGTCTCTAGGAAGAGCAAGAGGTGTCAGCCACTGTGGCACCAAGGCAGGCACAGGCATGCAGCGCCCTCCCTAGAGCAGGTGCCACAGAATGAGGCTGGAAGTTGGCCTGGCAGAGGGAACAGGGTCACCATGGCCCTTGCTGCTGCAATTTTTGGTCTCCTCTGAAGGCTAGGTTTGATGGCTAGCAGTTGGCAGCACTGCTTCCTGTGGGCTGTGTCCAGGGAGCGAAGCTCTGAGCAAGCTTCCCTCCCAGGCCAACATTCAGCTTCCAGAAGCAGCTGAGATCTGTGTTGGCAAGAACACCCTGTGGGTTTACGGTATTCCCAGGGGAAATAGGACAAAGACCACAGACCTCATTTCCACTCGGAAACTGTACGATGTAAAATCAGACCCTACTTAGACAGTACTGCTACCAGCTGAGAGCAAGTCTAGGTGGCATGGTGGCTGATGGAAGAGCCGCCACATCTGCCTGAGGTGCATCTCGGAACTCTGAGATGGAGTTTTTCATGGCCAGTTTGCCAATGGCAGCCTGCCCCAGGGACCCTGCCTGGATTTGGCACCAACCTGCCAGCACAGGAAATAGAAACAAAAGCCAGGTAACAGGCATATGTAGATGTGGATAGCCAGAGAATGTGTCAGTCTTAATTTCCTTGGTGTCTGTCCTCAGTAGGAGGAAATATGGAGTGCAGAAAAACAGTTATCAAAAAGCTGCTTTTCTTTTCAAAGGGGAGTCTGTTTCAAACCCCCCTACTTAGTCTTAATCTCAAGGTAAATGGAGCTCCAGTGGTCCGACTGGCAGTCTGCTGTTGGATGGGTGTGCAGATACCAGCAAGGAAGTTGAACAGAAGTAGTCAGGTGCTTATTCCTGAAGGAGGCAAGTATTCAGTAGCTTTACCTGGGAGAAGGCTTTAGTAGTGGTTTGCATAAGAACTAGGGTTTGTCAAGTAACTTCATGTGATTAACCCCATCTCTCTTCCCCCTTCACTTAATGATTTTTCTCTGAAGACATCCCTGATTATTTGCCAAGCATTTTGTCCCACAGCATGGAAGTCATATCCCATTCCTTGAACTGACTGGCCCATATTAGAGGAGAAGTAACAATTTCTGAGTCAGAGTCAGAATGAGATAGGAATTTGGGGACACAGAAAAATAAAAATACACTGAATATTAAAAGAGAAGTGCCCATGAACTGTTGGAATGCAGGAAATGACCATACATCCTTGACTTGCAAAAGTAAGGACCGCGCACAAGCGCTAAAATATTGGTACGAATTTGCACAACTCTGCCCTGACTCTACCTGTAGCTCCTGTTTCTCTACCAGTATCAACACCAGACCAACAGTCGTGCCTCTCACTCTTAAGAGGGTCGAATTCTAAATAAATCTGTCACTGGTGCATGCTGAAAGTCTTTCCTGGTCACGACACATATTCGAGGGACCCGACCCCACTTGTTCAGAGTTGAGGTTTAGTTCTTAGGCCATAAAAATACAAAACATTAATAAGAGCAAAGCAATCTAGTCTGCATTATGGATTTGAACAAATAAGCATAATCTCATTTTTATCTGATCAAAGAAAATTAACTTACTTCTAAAAATAATTTTGTCAGATTTGCATTAAAGAGAGCCTATTAGGTAGAGTCCTTATGTAAATTAAGGTTAATCATCATCTGGGTAGAAAGTTCAACACCATATTCTATAACATCTTTAGAATTTAGGTACATTTTATAGAATCAAAAATTCTGAGTACAGTATACAAGAATTAATGTCATTTTATTAATATTATGTTAATTATATCAATATTATATATTCATGTCATTCAATTAATATATATTCATCAGTTATCAGGAAGTTACATTTAATTATAATTGTTATATTAATGTTAATTTAATATAAATGTTAATTCATGTTCATTATCAAATTTTTCTAATTTCTCAATATTTTTTGATTTGTGGGGTATTTAGAAACATGTCTATTTTCAAATATTTTGGGAATTTGTGATAGATTTTTGTTACTGATTTTTAATTCTTCTGTAGCCACAGGCAGAACTCTGTGGACTTTCCAGATATGGGATCTTCTGATGGACCAGGAGGTGATCTCAGGGTGTGTCTCAAGAGCAACTACAGCTTGGGCATGATGATCTGTGGCTGGTGGTGAGATGGTGGTAGATCCACTCTATCCCTCTCTCTTTGTTAACACCTGGTCTACAGTTCCATCAATCATCAGTAGAAGTTTAGAATCTACAGTTGCAACTTTGACTTTGTTGATTTCTGCCTTTATTTTGCCAGTTTTTGCTTCATGTATCTGGAGCTGTTTTCTTAGCAGCATGCACACACAGGATACTTATTCTTCCTTGATACCTTGACCATTTTTCATTGGGAAACATCTCCCTTTGTCTCTGCTCACACTCTTCTTTCTGTCAGCTTTGTCTGGTGTTAATCAGTCATTCCTGCTTTTTAATGTGTGTCTTTGTATTTATAAAGTGTTTAAGACTAACATGTACTTGGGTCTGCTTTAATTATCCAGTCTGACAGTGCATTTTTTAATTGGGAGTGTTAAATCGGTTTACACTTGTTGTGATTATTGATATGCGAATTCAGCTCTTCTGCCTTGTTGTGTGTTTTCTATTGTCCCATCTGTTCTTTTATATATTTGCCTTATCCTGCCTTAATTTTCACTAATCAGTCATTTCTTAATATTCCATTTTATTTCGTATATATGTCTTATCTTTATTGTTGTTCTAAATATGGAAATAAACATCCTATCACAATTACCTTGGGTTGATAAACCTTTTCACATTTGCTTTGAGGACCTTACAACAATATACCTTTGTTTAAGCTTCTTTTCTTATTGGTTTTGTTGCCACATAATTTATTTCTGCATATGTTGTAATATCATTTTGCTTTCCAAAGTCAGCTTTCTTTTAAAGAAATTAAGAATAAAGTGTTCTTCTTTATTTACTATTTTGTTTTTCCACTCTTCATTCCTTATCATAGATGTTAGCTTCCAGGTGGCATAATTTTCTTTAGTCTGAAATTCTTCCATTAATGTTTCATGTACAGTTGTTCCAGTTGCAGATTTTCCCAGTTTTCATTGATTTAATAATTTTAGAATGCCTTTGTTTTGCCTCCATTGTTAATTCTTTATGGATGCATAGGACTAATTTTGATGAATAATGGAGCATATCCTCATTCATTTCTTAAGTTTCTTACCACTCTAGTATCCACATTAACAAATCTTACGTCCATGTGAAGCATCACAGCACGTGAGATAGGTAATGTTCACCACAGCAGGGGGTGGACCAGCAGCACAGGCCTGGCAAGCTGGAAATGCCACCCAGTCCTTTCTCTCTGTATGATTGACTGGACACAGGCATGTAGGCCTGGAGGCAAAAGACAGAGCCATGCAGAGCTTCCACAGTGATGATCATTAGCTTCTCCTGCAAATGAAAGGAGCCCCTGGGACCCAGTCCCAGTAGCTCCTGGAAGGACAGCAATCTCTACTGTTGTGCTGCCCAGGTGGGCAGTGGACACTCTAGTACAGAAGGCAGTCTGGTGGCTTCCAGTGTTTACAATGGCATTTCAGTGAGACACCTGTTCCATTGCATGTTCCAGTCCCATAACACCCTTAGGTCTTCACCCTGACTGAAAAGTCCAGGACCATTTCTTTTTCCCAAGAGGGAATGTCTTTAAAATAATCTAGGAGAAATCATAATACTTAAGCAGGTTTCGGAAACTCTACATACAACCAGAACTCCAATTCTGCTTTAGGATACGGGCCATGTGTCTTTTCATGACAAGGTTAAAATGCATGGGTAAAAAGATTAAAGGGACGCCATTCCTTTCTTGGGCATTCACTTCTAGACTGTCTCAGTACTGCACAGGGAAAACCAGCACAGTGTATTCATAGTCACCAGTAAAATTAGGAGGGGAAGATAGGTAGAAACTCCACACATGACACCGTGCACACGAATATAAGAACAAGAAGCACAAGAGAGCTTCACCCATGATTCTGGGTCCCTATTTAAATAATAGCTCTCTGTGGGAAACAATATAAATAGAATTTGGAGCATCAAAGTCATTTAGTTTCTCTTTAATTTTCCTGCTGAAGATAAACTGAGAATAGATAGTTAAAATGGACCAAAGAGCCTCTGTTATCCTGTTGTTTCTAGAAGAAAAGCTGTTACCAGATGGGGGTGAAAGGCTTGGTCTGGACTGTCCACCAGCTGAGGGAAGTCTGCCTGTGGCACACTCTTGGGAGGAGGGCCCGGGACTGGCCATTTTCCTGGTTCTGTCTCTTTCCACCATTCTACTTCTGTGCTGTCCTTCAGGGCCTCTAAAAGGCTTGTGGCAGAAGCCTGAAGACTGTGAAATCCAGCAGTCAGGGAGACAAGCAGCCGACCTTGTTCACCCTGGTTCTCCAAAGAATGGAGTCGTGTTCCAGGTTTTCTATACTGAAGTGATAATCAGTTTGACACCTAATATGCTCTTGAAGCTGTGCTCCTTCCACAGGATACACCTGTGCACCTGCACTGTTATGGCAGAGGTGACCATGCTGGGGCTAAGTTCTGTGGAGAGGCTGATCTGTCCTTCCACCATGTTCTCACAACTGTACAAGTAATCAAGTTCACCTGAGGTTCTGTCTCCCTCAGCCTCGGCCTCAGTTTCTAAAGGAATCTTGGATATTACCCCATCTTCACACTAGACACTTCCCATGATCATCTCTTCTGTCTCACTTCCAACTTCATGTGTCATTTCTCCTGTTTTTATGGGCTGCTTCGTCTGCTTCAGGTTGACCTCATGAGCTGTTCTGGGATCCAGGTCTCTCTTGACCGTCTGGTCTGACATCAGCTAAGTGGAGTGGTCCCCACTTGTGCATATTAGCTTGAAGAAAACCAAATAAAATCATACAATGACAATGCACAAGTCTCACTCTCTTTGTTGATTACTTGAATGAGCCTCATCCTCACTTCATTTCCCAGTTTTCTTTGTTTTCACTGTTACTCCTGCTTTCAACCTTCTCTCCCTTTTCTTTGCTAAATTTTGGTTTCTTATTTCCATGGCTGGTGATACTCTGAGACTGCAGAAAGATTTTTCCAGTGTTTGCTGATTCTTCTGATGTTGGCTGATCTGCCATATTGCTGAAATCACTGGCCTTCCTTGTTGGGTTTCCTTGTCTCCAGTTCTGCTTTTATAATTTTGGGGGAGCTGAACTCGCTGGCCTGGCCCCAGCAGCTGACTGTGGAGAGGATTCATTCCTTACTCTTTTTTATTCCTCTTTGTGAAATGCATCTTTTTTTATTGTTTAATTCCCCCCCCCCTCTGCTTCAGCATTTTGCCTAGGATGTGGCCATATATGGACTTTCTCAGATGCCTTTAGATCATTTTTTTGACACTTTGTCCAGAGTTGATGGAGTTGATGGTTGTTGTCTGTAATCTGTGGCATAGTAGGTGGACAGAGCTGGGAGATCATGATTGGAAGGGCCTCAGGGCCATGACCAGGATTGTGGGTGAGTACAGCCTGTGGGTTGAGGATGTACATGTCTGTTTTGGGCACATAGCATGCATGGTGTGGCATCCTTGAGCTTTCTATGTCTGTCTGTCCTTACCGATGGGGGACAGAACAAAGGAGCTTAGGAGGGTTTATGTGCATCTGAACCAGGGAGGTCCCCAGCTTCCAAAAGCTTGCTCACTTTCCATTGTTCCCTGCCTCAGGCCAGGGTGGGGAGAGCCCAGCCCTCTTTCCCAGGGCCCCTGAACCCCAGGGCTGGGAGCTGGGCCAGTAGTCTGGATTGGACTAAGGCATGCATCTGCAGCTGTCCTGACCTCTAGAGCCTCCAGGTCACGTGTTCTCCTTTGCCCCTGTTCCTCTTTCTCTCTTCCTTTCTTCCTTCCTTCCTCCCTCCCTCCCTTCCTCCCTTTCCTCCCCTCCCCTCCCTCCCTCCCTTCCTTCCTTCCTTCCTTCCTTCCTTCCTTGATAGACCCCTTGACACCCAAGGCATGTGCTGCAGGAATGCCCCTGTCTACCACTGCAGTGTAGGCTGCAGGAGACGCTGGGCCCATCTGAGTGCCAGGAGTGAGGGTGGGGCCTGGTTCGGACAGAAGGCCGGCCTGAGTGAAGTTCATGTTCTGTGAAGACACAGATCACTGCAGGGACATCTTCACCAACACCCCACACCCTGGTGGTACCTGGAGGTTATAGTCAGAGACCAAGACAGCATGGCTTCTCCCATGCCTGACCTACACCCCCAGTGAGCACCCTGGCATCGTGCCAGAGGTTTAGTGGGAAAGTGTTTTCTCCTGTGGGTAGAAGCAGTGCTCCGTTCGAGCCTTGCTCAGGCCCAGGCTCCCTGGGTGGAGAACTTGCTTGTGTCTGTCTCCACCCTGTGACTGGAATCAGATTGACTCCCCTCCATGGAAGTGCCAAGTGTGGGTGCTGAGTGACAGTTGAGGCTCTCCTGGCCCTTCAAGCTAGGCAGGGGCTGGCTGTGATGCTCCTGTGGGAACTGATCACCAGCCCCTCCTCACACTGGCATAGCCAGTATTCTTGTTCTTTTTAATGAAACATAAAATGTCTTGATTATGCAGATTGAAGTGTGTTTTATTCTAACAGGCTTTGAGAAAGGACAAGCCTTGAATTCACGTCACCAGCGTACTCTGAACAGGGGAGGGAGCAGCAAGTGCCCCAGCTGTGTATGTGTGTTAAGAGGTCTGTGTGTCCTTAGTTACTGCGCGTGAAGAGTTATTTTTAAAGTGAAGACGGATTTGAGCAGGAGTCTTGCGGGTGTGGGACTTGATCTGCAAGGCTGTGAGCAAGTGGTTTCGTGGCCAGGGAGGGACCTGAAGATCTCACCTTTGGTCACAGTGCTAGTGGTGCGACAGCCCCTCTGCTGTCAGTGGGGACTTCTCTTGGGTTTTTCTGTTTGGGGAGTTTATTTCTTGCTCCTAGGGCTCTGTGAGAATGAGGAGAAATCAGGGGATTGTCCTCTGAGGCACATGGAGGTCGGTCCAGGGTGTCTTGGTGGGTGCTCCCAACTTTCATGCCTGCCTAGACTTGGGCCCCCAACACATCTTTGTGCTCAAGGTCCAGCTCCTCACATTCCA